TGAGTATTTCCTTTTTATAAATGGGAATTACATGGGAAAATTTCCAAATTCTTGGATTTGGCCATACCTTATAATGTTCTTGTATATTAAAAACAGTGGAAGAGTCAGAGAGCACATTTTTTATATATATTATATATTATAATTTTATATATATATTATAATATTTGTGGAAGTTTATATATATATATATATATATATATGCGTTTACATCAGAGATTTCTATCCAAAACAATGTACACCAATTGTTTTGTTAAATTCAGAAAATTTTTGAAAGAGTGACTTACGTTCTCGCCGATGGTTTCACGAATTGATGCTAGAATTTACAATAAGTTGAAAGTTTTATTACTATCCAGATAGCAATATAATAAAACGACGTGTGAAAATATATATATATACTAAGCAAATAAAAAAATACGAAGAAAAATGACGGGCACCATGAATCAAGCTAACGCTAAACACTGACACTGCGAATGAATCAAGAGATGAAAAATGACCCCACAAAATGAAGTGAACGATGAAAAAAAATGACCAGACGAAAAGATGAAAACGATGAAAACTGACACGACAGAACGAAGCAAACGATGAAAACACTTATAATTTTATGATACAATTATTTCTGAATTTTCGACACTCCCGACTGAGAGAAAATTTTTGCTTTGGGGAGTATAATTAAAAATATCCATTTGGTTTGGTTTTAATAAGTGCATTTTGTTCTTGTTGGTTTTTAATGAGACAACTAATTTAATTTCAGTCGGATTTGTCGTTTGATTTGAACTAGGTTCAACAAGCTCTCGTCTTCCTCGTGCTCCTCTGGTTCGGAGAGCAATTGATTCCTCTAGTTTATCCTTTGTTGTTGTTGTTTAGACTTCTTCACTGTCCTCTTCATTTACTTCCAGTGGATAAAGTAAGTTGAATGGTCGATTGAAGAGTTTTCCATTAACGGTTTGCACCATTACACTTCTCATCCTTCCATCTCTTCCGATAATAAGTTCTTGAATTTTTACTAACTTCGATATATCCCTTGATAGTCTAGGCCCATTTAACAAGGTTATTTCACCAGGACATGGATTTGAGATGTATTGGACCAATATTTAACTAATTTATCTTTAGTATTCAATGGGTGGGAAATTCATCTTGCATACTACCTTCATCTGTTTGGTATATCTAATGAAACGTTGGGCATAATGAAATCAATAGGTCTTATAATTTTGTAATCATCAAAATTTAAGTGAGTTAATGGACAAATATTAAGTATTCCTTCAATTTCCACTTTTAATGTGATTAATTCTCTTTCCCATAAAAGTTTCCTATCTAATGCTCTTCTGGGAGCTTCCTTTCATTCTTTCATAAACACCTCCGCTCCATAATTCTTTCGGTATAATATTTTTCCATATCATCCTTTTGAAGCCAGAAAATTTCTTTGAAAAACTTTGATCCATAATAGTTTTGAATCAAATTTAGGATATCCGCGTCGCGATACAAATCTGCGAAACACATGCATGAATATTTCTGCTAATAAATTTTCTACAAGTTCTAAGTGCACTGCTCGTGTAATAAATAATTTTCGTTTCTTCATATTTCAATAGAGCTTGTTCAGTTCCATTGGCCGATAATGTAATACTGTCCACATAAATATTCTATTCGGAGGCTGTCTTGTTACCGTTTCCAGATGGTGGTAAATAAAAAAAGGTGATGAGATGACTCAAAAGGTAACTCTTAAAACGATAGAATTTTACGTTTTCTTCAGCTACATCGTATAACCAAAGAAATCGAGTAGAACCTCTATTTTCTAGGTACAATTTTATCTGTAAAAAGGCATCATTTGGAATCTCAACTCCAACTGAATCTGGTAGCTAGACTGGGCCTAGGTATAGCACTTCATTCAAATTCTTCTTTCCTTGAAGGTTATCGAACCTCATACACTATTCTTAGTTTAGTAGTGCTTTTATCTGAAGTTAATACGCTATAATACGGTAGCGCCAAATAACACCCACCTTTTCACTGGATCCACGTCTTCGATTATATCTAATTGTTTTTATTCTATTAGTTGAAAATTGATTCCTGTTGTAATCGTTTGACCAGTTTTTTAAGACGTCCCAAGCATAGCCTAAAATTGTTGCTTAATTGTTGCTTATTTTTTCTTTTTCTTTCTTTCCATGGCCATATTACTCGAAATCTGTCGTTATATTTTGTTATGAATCTTCTAAACTATTTCAATGCCTCGTCAACGTCGTCGACATTAGGTCCTTCCTGTGTTTACATGACTTCTAACTTCCAAAAAATTTCTATTTCTGACCCAGAGCTTAAGGTGGTTATACAAATTGTATTAGAAGCATATGCCGTAATTGTTTGGCAAAGTTGATTCATTCGCCACTTCCAACAATCATTGATCCAACTTTCGTATGAAGTAAGGAGAATTTGAATTTTAGTTTTTTGATTTTATTCAGTTCTACAAATTTGAAAAAATGATCCGCTCCAATTAAAGTATTGAGTCATTTCCAATAATTTTTTAAATTCACCGTTTGATTGACTATCGATATTTTAACAATATGTAATTTATTGGTCAGATATTCGACTACATTAGCGCATTTTTCGATAATCTCATCTTCGTCAATTCGTATACTGAGCTGCGCTTGAGAGTGGCTCTATATGATTTAGGGTTTCTAATACCGAAAGAAGCTTATTTTAGTTCTTGTTCATTAGTTTCTGATAAGTCTAATCGCTGAATTAATTCCTTTGATGTAAAAAAATAATTGTGACCCTATATCAAATAGTGCTAAAGTTTCTTCCTTTCATTCTGGTTGTAAAGGATTAAATATAAATCTCTTTACATAGTAGCAAGGTTTATTTACTTTGTTTCTTAATTATTGCATTCTTTTGAGTCATCATTGTCGAAATATAGTTAGTTGAACAATCCAATTTAACTTCTTCGTTCGCCTAACTCTTGTTAAGGAATAACGTTTTGTTCGAATGTGGTTGATTTCTTTTTTCTCATAGGGGCACTGCTATGAGCTTGCAGTAGAAACGTTTTACCTTTCTTTTACTTCTCCTTGATGTGGCTTCAAACAAATAATATCTTTCTTTAACTCCTTGAGACATTCATTTAAGCATTCACTGTAGGATATACTTGACAGTCACTATCCCAATGATTTTGACTAAAAAATGTACGGTATGTACGGCCTTCTTTGTTTGATTTCGCTTTTCAATGCCGTAGGATAAAGAATCTTCTTTTCGTTGTGAATAGTTGCTAATGCTGAGGTTTCATTGTAACTTATTGGATTCTGGTTAGTCTTAAAGTATGTTTCTTGTCCAAATAAATAAATGAGAATTGATTTCTTATCTGTTCATTGACAATGCTCAGAAATTTTTTGGGAATTTTCTGAGCATTGATACTGACTATGGGCTATCGTCTATTTTTTAGTGGTATACTTCTTCAAGTATCCAACGTGGTAATCTGCTTTCGACTACGGTTTCAATGCTAGAGTATTCTAGGTTTTCTCCTCGCGCCTCTAATTGTCGGAAAATTCTTTCCATTTTTTCTACTGCTTCAATCCATTCTTTTTCATTTCGTTCGATGGATTATAGTTCGTTGTATGGTAATTTAATAATAGTCGATGAATCGTTATATTTCTCAGTCAGCATTTTTCGTACGATTTCATAATTTTCTGGGGCTATGTCCCTTTCGGCTTGCAATGCTGTTCCTTTTAGGCAGGAAATTAAGTAGTTCAATTTTTGGATTTCTGGAACAGCTTGGGAGTGAACAGCAGCATTAAAGCTGTTCCAGAATTCTCTCTAGTGTCGTGGCATTTGGATCGAGCTCGAGGTTAATGACAGTTTTTATGTCCATATCCTTTTTATATATAGTCAACGTGATGATCGCTTTGTTCGCTGCATCAGCTTGAATATTCCTTTTTTCCCTTTTGTAACTTCTCCGTATTTTTCTTTCTGTTCCTTTCTTATAATAGTAAAAGATTTCTTTGTGTATTCAATCCATTCGTCGTTTGCTGATTCGATTGATTTGATGCACATTTGCAATCGCAAAATTTTTTCTTCGAGGAGTCATCCTTTGGTTTCGCATAATTGAAGATGTTCTTTTGTTATCAAACTTGATTCCGGAAGTTTGATGCCGCCACTCGCCAAGGAGTATTTCCAGTCTCTCCTTTACAGGTTTAATACTTTCTATTATTGTGGAGGTCATAATGTTGCCTCACCTCATGCACCAGAAATTTTATGACGTGAAAAGTTTTGTTAAATTTTATTTTGTTTGAAAGGGATGACTTACATATCGATGGTTTCACGAATTAATTTTAGAATTAACAACTAGTTGAATGTTTTATTACTATCCAGATAGCAATATAATAAAAAACGTATTGATTTAGCAAATAAAAAAATACAAAGAAAAAGGACTGCCACCACGAATCAAGCCAACGTTAAACACTGACACTACGAATGAATCAAAAAAGGAAAAATGAGCTTATAAAATGAAGTAAACGATGAAAAAACCAGACCAGACGCAACGTTGAAAACTGACCCAACGGAACGAAGCAAGCGATGAAAACGCTTATAATTTTATAACAAAATTATTTCCAACACTAATAGGAACAGCTAAGATATCGCGCAGAACTCTTCACTTCTCAGGCCTTTAGTAGAGTATCTAAGGTTGAGGATAGTCATGACCACCTACAAGGAGAAAAGTTTTTCTCTTTCCAGAAAAGTGCATAGATAGGAAGAGCGAAGACACTGTGCCGAAGCATCGATCTCACAGGCATCTAGTAGATGATCCTTATCACCCAAAAGAAAAAGAGGTAAAGAGGTGAGAATTTTCTCTTTATCTCGTTATTATATGTTTTGTTTGCCAAGATAATACTGCGCTCAATACGGTCGAAATATTGGAAACCCATGATGTAAAATAAATAAATAACTTTTCATTATTTAATGAATGATATTATAAATAGCAAAATTCATTGATTTATTAGGGATTCAGTATTCCTATGCAATGTTTGTGGATGTTCACTCCTATAATGAAAAAATGATTAAATGAGCTTCAATGGAAAAATACTCGAAATTATCATTTTTTAAAAACCAACAATCAGAATTTGTGGTTTGGTTGCCATTAAGAAAATATATACTTCCTTAGAAATATATTTATAATATACTTATAATATATTATAATATATAATATGCTTTCTCACTTTGCTGATCTATTTTCATCGAATAATTCATGATTGAGGTTGAGGAACTACTCGATTTAAATATCTAACTCTAAACAGCTAAAAGCCGAAATGACAACCAGGATAACGATAGCTAGATATGGGTTCTGCTGTTATGGAGTCGTCGTAAAATCACTATAAAAACGAATAACCGTGTCTATATAGGTGCAGTTCGCTCGATCTTGCTATATGGCTGCAAGATATAGCCAGTGAGAGTGGAGGATATTAAGATGTTATCTGCCTTTGACCATTCATGTTTAAGATACATTTTACGGGAGCAGAAAAAATCTCAGATGATTACATCCACCTTCATTCAAATACCACTTGTAACAACGGTATCATCATAGAACATCGCCTTCGTTAAGGTTCTTCGTCGCCCACCACAGATGATATTTAGTTATTTGTTAAACCTTGTAATAAAGAAATAGCTTCTATTACTGCCAGCGATGGTAGCAGATCGATCAGTTTTGAAGCGGTTTATCCTTGTAGCCAGCGGAGCCAATTTAACCAGTAATGGTGAGAATTGTTAGAAGAAAAAAAGTTACTCTGGGATAAAAGTATAGCTGGATCCCTACCACTATTTTCACTTTTAATAATTTATTCTCGTAAACTATATAATCGACCTTATTTGGAGCAAATTACCACTCAGTCCCTTCAATCGAGCGTCAAGTTGGTGAAGTGGGGATAAGGATTTGCATTCAAAATTCAAGCGCGCATTCAACAATATTAATTTCTAAAAAATCTTTTTTCTGGTTTTTCATAAATAATTTATTCTAGAAATGAAAACGAAGCAAACCAAAAATATTTTGTTCCTCCCTATAATTAGTTTAACTTTATAAAAGAATTATTAAAATTAGTATTAATTACTAAACTATTAACGTTTGATTTCAATTGATATTATTTAAACAATAAAATTGTTTGATTAAAGGAAACCTTTCATGATGAATTTCATTATTTTATGCGTGTTATCCACGTCTTCATCAATTTCTTAATTAGCTCTCACTCTTAAAAATTCTCCTAACAGCATCCATCATTTCTAGTTTGACTTATGGCTATTAGGATGAGAATCTTTTGCCAGAGACTCACATAGGAATAGAAAATACAAATGAGTCTCCATCACTTATATTTTATTTTTAATGACAGAATTACTTCTGTTAAAGGCCATGAGTCAAACCTACGATACTTCAGTTAAGACGAAGCAATACACCATTCGGCCATCCAACTTTCCGTTGTTGAAAAATTCTTATCAATCAGTTACAATCTAAGTTAACAGTCATCAATCAAAACCTAGAGGCAGAGTAGCCGAGTTACTCAGATTATCATTTTCAACGTCAAAACTCGAACCCTATTCCAGGTGGAGCAAACCTATAAGAAATCAGTGTGGCGCTTGCAGTCTACCTATATTTCTACCACCATACAATTTCCTAGCAAAAATTTCTGATATATAGTGTATCAATATAGTGAGCCTAAGAAACGGTAAACGCTGACCATTCAAAATATAACTGGAAACGAATGAAGCAGAAAATGGTGAAACTTTAAGATGGAAAAGAAATATGGAATTCGCTTTTCTTCTACTGACTTACTGAGTAAAATTTCGCTCAACCGAAATTTTTTTATAAACCTTACAATCTAGTTTCAACATTATTTCCTTTTATTATTTTGTCAACAATGAACAATGAATTGATCAACACTTCAAATATTTGCTCGATGATTAATTATTATTGGTCCTAGGCCAAGGCTTTTATTATTTGATAATAAAAGCTTTTATTATTTCGATAATACATATATTATCTGATTCTTTTTCTTCGATTGTAAATTGATTTTGAATCACTAAAACACAGCTTATCCAGACATTTTCTAATTATGACTGAAATTTTTCATAAATAAAAGCAAAATAAATATAAATTAAAAATAAATAAAAGAATAGTTTAATTATGACCGAAAGTTTCTTTCATAAATGAAAAAAATAACCTAAATTATCAGAATAATCTATAAGTAATAAATGAGAAAAATTGCCAAAGAAGACTGCAATAAATCAGTTGGAAGTACGAAACTCAATCTAACTGAATGAAAATCGTCCTGAACCACTCTCATGAATGATTTATATTTTTCGAAAGTGAAAGTAAATCATGAATTCATGAAGTTGTAACTAATATATTTACATAAGGTATTGACAAATATCGTCATAAAGCGTCGCCTACACTGATCAGATCATGTGCTTTGCCGTTCATCACAAGAAGTGTCGCCTTTCCAAAGCTTGTGAAGAATGGTGTCGAAAGCTAGAAGCACCAATCAGGATCCGAACAGATACGGTCAAGAGAGCATTTGATGACATAAACGGTCCTCCACATGTGAGCCATATAATGGAAAAGGAGCGACCTCAGTTACTTTTAAAAGTGGCATCAAATCCGGAGGTTGAAAACATTATACTCTAGTTGCCAGTGAAGTGAGCCAAACCAACAATGGTGCAAGCTACTAAAAGAAGAAGAGATGAATGGAATTAAGCAAATAATGATTTCTAAATTCAAAAAAAGGATTAACAAAAAATTTCTTCATTTATTTATTCAGAAGATTAAGCTAAGCAGTAGCCAAACATATATGGAATATAAAAAATATTTTAACTTATTTTTAAATGAATTTCATACAAAATATAAAATAATAATAAAACAAAAGCAATTTCGATTAAATCGTTATTATTCAGTCACTAACAGTAGTACTTTATTACTTAAATTGGTTTCCATGAAAAAACTGCTTTAAGAACTAAAAAGCAAAAACTTTTTCTTAATCTTCGATTTTTACAGCGGTTGAGCTCAACAGCTTTTTTTTGCTATATTCACGACAGCACTTCCCAGAATAAAGCTAGACATTTTTAGCAGTATAATATTGCAA